GAATGTTCATTGCAGCACTGTTTACAATAGCAAAGACCTGGAACCAACCCAAATGCCCAACGATGATAGACTGGATAGGGAAAATGTGGTACATATACACCATGGAATATTACGCAGCCATCAAAACCGATGAGTTCACATCCTTTGTAGGGACATGGATGAACCTGGAAACCATCATTCTCAGCAAACTGGCACAAGAGCAGAAAATCAAACACCATATAGTCTCACTCATAGGCGGGTGTTGAACAATGAGAACACATGGACACAGGGAGGGGAGCATTACACACTGGGGTCCGTTGGGGAGAAATGGGGGAGGGGCGGGGGGCGGGTAGGTGGGAAGAGATAGCATGGGGAGAAATAACAGATACAGGTGAGGGGACGGAAGGCAACAAAGCACACTGCCATGTGTGTACCTATGCAACAATCTTGCATGTTCATCACATGTACCCCAAAACCCAAAATGCAATAAAAAAAAGTAACAATACTAACTCTAAATGTAAATGGACTAAACGCCCCAATCAATAGACACAGACTAGCAAATTAGATAAAAAGCCAAAACCCATTGGTGTGCTGTATCCAGGAGAAGCATCTCACATGCAAGGATACCCAAAGGTGTAAAATAAAGGGATGGAGGAAGACTTACCAAGCAAAAGGAGAGCAAAAAACAAGCAGCAGTTGCAATTCTCATCTAGGATAAAAATAGACTTTAAAGCAACAAAGATTAAAAGAGACAAAGAAAGACATTACATAATGGTAAAAAGATCAATGCAACAAGAAGAGCTAACGATCCTAAATATATATGCACCCAATACAGGAGCACCCAGATACACAAGGCAAGTTCTAAATGACTTAATGACTTACAAAGAGACCTAGACTCCCACACAATAATAGTGGGAGACTTTAAAACGCCATTGTCAATATTAGACATATCAACCAGACAGAAAATTAACAAGGATATTCAGGACTTGAACTCAGACCTGGAACAAGCAAACCTAATAGACATTTACAGAACTCTCTACCCCAAATCCACAGAATATACATTCTTTTCAGCACCGCATCACACCTACTCTAAAACTGACCACGTAATTGGAAGCAAATCACTCCTCAGCAAATGCAAAAGAATGGACATCATAACAAACAGTCTCTCAGACCACAGTGCAATCAAGTTAGAACTCAGAATGCAGAAACTAACTCAGAATAGCACAGCTTCATGGAAACGGAACAACTGGCTCTTGAATGTGGACCGGATCAACAATGAAATAAAGGCAGAAATAAAGATGTTCTTCAAAACCAACGGGAATGAAGACACAGGATACCAGAATCTCTGGGACACATTTAAAGCAGTCTCTAGAGGAAAATATATAGCAATAAGTGCCCACATGAGAAACAAGGGCAGATCAAAAACTGACACCCTATCATCAAAATTGAAAGAGCTAGAGGAGCAAGATCAAAAAAACTCAAAACCTAGCAGAAGATTAGAAATAACTAAGATCAGAGCAGAACTGAAGGATATAGAAACACAAAAATCCTTCAAAAAAATCAATAAATCCAGGAGCTGGTTTTTAAAAAAAATCAACAAAATAGACAGACAACTAGCCAGATTAATAAAAAAGATAAGAGAGAATAACCAAATAGATGCAATAAAAAACTATAAAGGGGATATCACCACAGATTCCACAGAAATTCAAACCATCATCAGAGATTATTACAAACAACTCTATGCACGTAAACTAGTAAACCTGGAAGAAATGAATAAATTCCTGGACACCTGCATCCTCCCAAGTCTAAACCAGGAAGAAATCGAAACCCTGAATAGACCAATAACAAGGTCTTAAGTTGAGGCAGCAATTAAGAGCCTACCATGCAGAAAAAGCCCAGGTCCAGATGGGTTCACAGCCAAATTCTACCAGGCATACAAAGTGCAGCTGGTACCATTCCTTCTGAAACTATTCCAAATAATCCAAAAAGAGGGAATCTTTCCCAAATCTTTTTATGAGACGAAAATCATTCTGATACCAAAGCCTGGCAGAGATTCAACAAGAGTAAACTTCAGGCCAATATCCATGATGAACATAGATGCAAAAATCTTCAACAAAATACTGGCAAGCTGATTACAACAGCACATCAAAAAGCTTATCCACCATGATCAAGTAGGCTTCATCCTGGGGGATGCAAGGCTGGTTCAACATACGCAAGTCTATAAACGTAATTCATCACATAAACAGAACCAAAGACAAAAACCACATGATTATCTCAATTGATGCAGAGAAGACCTTGGACAAAATTCAACAGCCCTTTATGCTAAAAACCCTCAATAAACTAGGTATTGATGGAACGTATCTCAAAATAATAAAAGCTACTGATAACAAACCAACAGCCAATGTCATACTGAATGGGCAAAAACTGCAAGCATTCCCTTTGCAATCTGGCACAAGACAAGGATGCCCTCTCTCCCCACTCCTATTCAATATAGTACTGGAAGTTCTAGCCAGAGCAATCAGGCAAGAAAAACAAATAAAACGTATTCAAATAGGAAAGGAGGAAATCAAATTGTCTCTATTTGCAGATGACATGATTGTATATCTAGAAGACCCCACTGTCTCAGCCCAAAATCTCCTGAAACTGATAAGCAACTTCAGCAAAGTCTCAGGATACAAAATCAATGTGCAACAATCACAAGCATTCCTATACACCAATAACAGACTTAAAGAGAGCCAAATCAAGAATGAACTGCCATTCACAATCACTAAAAAGAGAATAAACTACCTAGGAATACAACTAATAAGTTACGTAAAGGACCTCTTCAAGGAGAACTATAAGCCACTGCTGAACGAAATAAGAGAGGACACAAACAGATGGAGAAACATTTCATGTTCATGGTTAGGAAGAATCAATATCATGAAAATGGCCATAGTACCCAAAATAATTTACAGATTCAACACTATCCCCATCAAGCTACCAATGACCTTCTTCACAGAACTGGAAATAAACACCTTAAATTTCATATGGAACCAAAAAAGAGCCCACATAGCCAAGTCAATTCTAAGCAAAAATAACAAAGCAGGAGGCATCACACTACCAGACTTCAAACTATACTACAAGGCTACAGTAATCAAAACAGCATGGTACTGGTACCAAAACAGAGATATAGACCAATGGAACAGAACAGTGGCCTCGAAGGAAGCAGAACATATCTAGAACCATCTGATCTTTGACAAACCTGACAAAAACAAGCAATGAGAAAGGACTCCCTGTTTAATAAATGGTGTTGGGAAAACTGGCTAGCCACATGCAGAAAGCAGAAACTGGATTCTTTCCTGACACCTTACACTGAATTTAACCCCATATGGATTAAAGACTTAAACATCAGACCTAACACCATAAAAACCCTAGAAGAAAATCTAGGCAAAACAATTCAGGACATAGGCGTAGGCAAGGACTTCATGACCAAAACACCAAAAGCATTGGCAACAAAAGCTGAAAGGGATAAATGGGACCTAATCAAACTCCACAGCTTCTGCCTGGCAAAAGAAACAGTCATTAGAGAAATCAGCAACCAAAAGAATGGAAAAAAAAGTGTTGCAGTCTACCCATATGACAAAGGGCTGATGTCCAGAATTTACAAAGAACTAAAACAGATTTACAAGAGAAAACAAACAAGCCCATTCAAAAGTGGGTTAAGGATATGAACAGACGCTTTACGAAAGAAGACATACATGAGGCCAACAAACATATGAAAAAATGCTCATCATCACTGGTCATTAGAGAAATGCAAATCAAAACTACATTGAGATACCATCTCAAACCAGTTCAAATGTTGATCATTAAAAAATCTGGAGACAACAGATGCTGGAGAGGATGTGGAGAAATAGGAACACTTTTACACTGTTGGTGGGAGTGTAAGTTAGTTCAACCATTGTGGAAGACAGTGTGGCGATTCCTTAAGGACCTGGAAATAGAAATTCCATTTGACCCAGCAATCACATTACTGGGTATATATCCAAAAGATTATAAATCATTCTACTATAAGGACACGTGCACAGCACTGTTTACAATACCAAAGATCTGGAACCAACCCAAATGCCCATTGATGATAGGATGGGTCCATCGATGATGGACAGGGAAAATGTGGGACACATACACCATGGAATATTATGCAGCCATCAAAAACGATGACTTCGTGTCCTTTGTAGGGACAGGGATGAATCTGGAAAACATTATTCTCAGCAAACTGACACAAGAGCAGAAAATCAAACACTGCGTGTTCTCACTCATAGGTGGGTGTAGAACAATGAGAACACATGGAACAGGGAGGGGAGCACTACACACTGGGGTCTGCTGGGGGGAAATATGGGAGGGACAGTGGGGTTGGGGAGTTGGGGAGAGATAGCATGGGGAGAAATGTCAGATATAGATGAAGGGGAGGAAGGCAGCAAATCACACCGCCATGTGTGTAGCTATGAAATTATCTTGCATGTTCTTCAAATGTACTCCAAAACCTAAAATGCAATTAAATAAAAACACACACACACACAAATGAAAATTAAAAAATAAAACATCAGAGTTGCAAAAAAATTAAAAATAAATAAAAAATAAAATATCAGAGTTGCAAAAATAAATAAATAAATAAGTAAATAAATAATGCTGTGATGAACATTTTTGTGCATAGTTTGTTTCTCTCTTTAGGATAGATTCAATTCCCAGAAATGTAATTATTGAGATGTTAGACATGTAGATTCTTATGTTTTATGATAAGCATTACCAAATTCAGTTATTAAAGATTATTAGTGCCACTGTACATTGCTACAAAGAAAGCATGAGAATATCTATTTTATCATACCCTCACCTCTTTGTTTGTCTTTACTAACCTATAAATGAAGAATTTGAGGAATAGAGTTTCACATTGGGCTGATACCTGCTGCATACTGCAATCAAAATTGAATTTGCCACTTTAAGGCATGTTCTAGCACTAACTTCTTCCACTGGTAATATTTACTCACCTGGACCCAACAGGTATTAACCAGAACTTCTTCTTATCTCCAAACACCTGCTGGATATTCTTGATGAAGCCAAGGTTGAACCCATTTTTCTCTGGGCCACTTGTAAACACTGGAGTGCAGAAGGCCTCTAAGGCAGGGCAGGAAAGTTGAAGAAAAGAGGAAGAAAACGATGAAGAAACAGATTTCGGCATAGTCATGATTTTACAATTCTCCATTTATGTGACTTGGTTCTATGATATCTTTTTGCTGTGGTAGCACAGACCCCTCATTTTTAGTTATTGCTAAATTACTCAGTAAAAACCAGTTTAATCACTTATCACAAACTAAGCTTGTTATTGCATATAAAGAATTAGTACTCTTTTTGTAAAAGACAGGAAACACATGGTGGTAGAAATAATTAAGCAGCCATGGGAGTAGTATGTATTTTGTACTGCTGAATTTAGAGTATAGGAGCAGATTTAACAGCACTTTATTTGAATCTAAGTGGGAACAATAGTAAAATGACCTCCACCTTTAGAGCTGGGAAGAAAGTAATGACACATAAAGAGATGGTAATGACATTGATTTGGTTTTGAAACATTTCAAAAATGAAAGTGTTGATGCTGAAGCCTGCAATGTAAGAAACTGAGTTTTACTTCAGATAAAATATCAACTGGTGAACCGTAATCACTTCAAAGACTATAAAGAATGAGACCATGTTAGTGCACATTATTTTTAGACACACAGTAATCCCATTAAGCAAATGCCTTCACTGTTGGACTCTAGCTGCATCTGACTGTTTCTCATTTGTTCTTCGTTTTCAGACTGTTATCACAAAGCTTTTAGTGGTTTTCCACTTTGTAGCTGTTCTCTAAGCCAAATGTGCTAATCTACCACCATAGCAACTAGGGGCTACATATATATTTGGTTGAGAAAATGGGTACAAATACTTTATTTTAAAAGAAACAGATATAGGGTCTTGTTCTGTCACCCAGGCTGGAGTGCAGTGGCACAATCTTAGCTCACTGCAGCCTTAAACAGACCCCCTCCCCAGGGTCAATCAATCTTCCCATCTTACCTTACTGAGGAGCTGCAGCCACAGGCATGTGCCACCACATCTAGCTAATGATTATTATTTTAAAATATTTTAATAATTATTTTAGGATCAGGGTACATCTGCAAGTTTGTTTTAAAGGTAAATTTGTGACTTGGGAGTTTGCTGTACACATTGTTTTGTCACCCAGGTACGAAGCATAGAATCCAAGTGTATTTTTTTTCTGAACCCCTCCCTCCTCCCATACTCTTCCCTCCCTTAAGAAGGCCCAAGTGTCTGCTGTTCTATGCTTTGTGTCCATGTGTACTCAGTCTTTAGCTCCCACTTGTAAGTGAGAACATGTAGTATTTGATTTTCTGTTCTTGAGTTAGTTAACTTAGGATAATAGCTTCAAGCTTCATTTGTGTTGCTGCAAAAACCAGGATCTTGTTCTTTTTTATGGCTGCATAGTATTCCATGTTGTATATGTACCACATTTTCTTTATCTAGTTTGCCACTGATGGATGTTTAGGTTGATTTCATGGCTTTGCTGATGTGAAATGTCACCCAGTTGATTATTTTAATTTTTATTTGTAGAGATGTGGTCTTGCTATGTTCTCAGGCTGTTTTCAAACTCCTCAGCTCAAATGATTCTCCTGCCTTGGCCTCCTAAAGTGCTGGGATTACAGGAGTGAGCCATCAAGCATGGTCAATAGATGTAAATACCTTCTTAGCTGTTAGCATCATTAGCAAATAAATTCCCAATGTGTAGTAGCTTGTGCACTAAACTTTTCTCAAATCCATCCTAGCTAAACATTCAACATCCAAAACTTGTATATTTTATCCTCACTCCTCATGTACTGATTTGTACACAAGGTAAATACTTATTTCACCATCGATGAAATAAAATGTACTGGAATCCATCAGAAGTATAATTTTCCAAATAATAGCCTATAGAGTAAGTGATAGAAAATATGTTCATTTATTTTACTAATTTTCTAGAAAATCATTTGTTTGATATATTTATCTCATTCCCACAGTACCTAAAGAGCCCCTTGATGATTACAGATATTCACTGATTTGTTTGTTTCTCAAGACTTGGATTCTTGTTGCAATTCGTTTGGAGTTTTTGTCAGGGCTCTGTTTTTAGATGTGCATAATAAATTCTGACATTCACTTCTGTACTGATTCTTTCTTTAATTTTTTCATGTGAACAGCTTTTAGAAATCTTCTGAGCTATAAACCTTGGTAGCTATTACCCAGCATACACTATAAAAAACAATGGGAAATTTTGTTTCTGTGTGGGGTTTCATTAAAAAGTATTATCATAATTAGCCTATAAGCTTAATTCACTATGCCTTTCTAGTTTGGTAAAATGTATTTTCATCTGTCTCAGTTTGGGGTAGAGTGATGTTATTGCAGCTAAAATTTTTCACTGGAAGTTATACTTGGGAACAATAATGTATGTCAATCTGATATACATTAATATGTTTTTTCCTAATCTTAATGTTAAGTCTTACCTAAGGTGGTTTTGTTTCTGCTGACAAGCCAACAATGGTAACCAAAGAGAATCACAAGGCTGACAAAAAACATGCAGGCCACAAAGAGAAGAAAAAGGACATGGAACTTAGATCGAACACTGGGTAATTCCCCCTAGAAAAGAAATAATAAACAAACAAAAGATTAAATTGAAAAAGCATGGCTAGTTTTTTTTTTTTTTAATGTATAGGTTAGCAGTTTTTGATATACATAAAATGTCTAGCTGTAATTCTAAAAATAGATTGTGTACAATTTTTATAATGTGGTTCTTTAGGTTAATGATGATATCTGTGAGTATGCTTTCAGCCTACAAAGCCTAAAATGGATCCTTGCTCAAGTGCAGTTCAGTGTTAAATAGAGTATATTAGGTACCAATTACAAAAGGATAATGTAAAAAGGGTATACTCATGCCATAATTGGCATGCAACCTCTTACAGCTTGTACTCCATTTAGTTTGAGATCTTGAAGTCATATGCCTTATCCTCTTGTCTCAGTGTAAGTTATTCTGGAATTCTTTATATGTCATGTTTCCTTGGACATGTGTGTGTTAAAAATGTCACAGTGATGTATGTAAGAAGTTAAAACATATAGGTAGAATTTAAAAATGTCCTACTCATAAGTCATAACCTGATCTTAAAGCTGTTGTAAATTTTGTGTGGTTGTTTTTTAAAGCTGAGATAGAATGTGCTGGTGTATTACATCCTGTGAAACAGCTGTCTAGACAGTAAAAATCAAGCAGAATTTTTACAGGCAAATGTAAAAGTAGGTAGCTACAGATTTTTATAGTTATCTAGGACATATTATTTTCCATGTGGCACCAGCCTTTTTTTCCTACATGTGGCCTAGACCAGAATGAATGTTATAAAGTTCTGTATCATGCGCAGCATGTAACATTTATCTTCTGAAGAGAATCTTAGAAACATTTTAAATTTTGGAGTGAACAGTTGGGGGAATGACTATTATTTATTTCGTTCTTCCCTGTGATGATTATTGTTTCAGTGTGATGAATCACTTTGAAATATTTCTAATTGCTCTCTAGTAATAAAGTTTAACATGATTCTTAAATGAAGTGGACCTTAACTTCCGAATAATCTAGTTCTACTCCAATTTGGAAGGAGAAAGTTAAGGCTTGGCAATACTTGGCAAGTCCAGATAGTACAGATTTTTTTCTTCTCAAGAGAATATTTTTATTCATTTTTATGTATGGAACTATTGGGAATCTTCCAGGTTGTATACTGAAGGATGAAGATAAAGATGCTTCCCCTTATCTTCAGCCAGTCAGATGCTGTCAGCTGAGTGGGGGTCCAGGTGAAAATTGCACAGGGACAGAGCAGTTCAGGAAAGAGCTACCTCAAGAACTTCAATCTTCAGGAATATTTATCTGAAACTCTCCTTTTTGAAATGATCCCTCTATAAATTCTTGGCCTAAGCACCCAAATTGAATTAGATTGGGGGTTTATGTTTTATTTTGAACTTATAGAAAAGACTCCATATATTGCTTTGCAATTGGCTTTGCTTTGTATTTTTGCTTTCACAATCTTTAGTTTTTAAAGAATGTTTTAAAAATATTTTAAAGCTCACATTTATTTTACTTCTTTTTTTTTCACATATAAATGGATAGTAGAAAATGGCTGGACAAGAGGGACTGATATAAAGTCAATCCAAAGTCTGTGTGGCTGAGCTGAAGTCTGTACCCTCACCCCAACTCAATTACTCTTAAAGAACATTTTTCTGTCTGCCAAAGCATATCTACTATGTTGTCCCTTGATAAGAGTTATTCTGAAACTTTTTTCTTTTGTTAGAAGAAGGTGTTTAAAAATACCCTCTCAGGAGATAACCAAGCTAAATCACTCAAAGCAATAACCATCAGAGACAGATCAGATGAATACTGGCTGAATAATGCTATTATCTTGTTTCTAAAATAAATAATAGCTCTGTGAGGAGATTCATGGCTCAATACAGGAGGTATGTATTAGTACTTTTTTGCATAAGGCAAAGGTCAATCTCTTATCAAAGTAGCTATTGTTTAATATTGAGAAGAGAGAAATAATCAGATGGTTTTCTGAATTCTTTATTCCTATGGAGTTAGGGCTTCTCTAAAGCAGAGCCATAATGGGCAGTAGGACATGGTACAGTGTGTAAGATCACTGGGCTTAGGGTCAGATTTAGGTCAAAGTCCTAACTTTGAAATTTACAAGCTGGGCAATCATAGACAAGTCACTTTACTATAAGTCTCAGTTTTTATCATCTTTGAATGACACTAATAATTAATGCTTTGCCTACTTCACAGGGTTGTGGTAAGGATAAAATGAGATAAGGAGTATGAAAGTGCTTTAAAAACTGTAAAGTACTATACAGATGAAGTTTGCTATTGTTAGGAGCACAGCTTGTTTCCTTGATACACGGATTTCAAAATACATGGCAGTGTTTACTTTTTATTTTAAGGGGAGATTCCATTTAAACTGAGAAAGCCATCCCTAAACTACACTGAAGTGTTACCTGGCTAAAGATTTGGCAAAGGAGCATTTCTCTGAACTGTCAATGCCCTTTTCATTTTAGGACAAGCCAGGACAGATTTTCTTGCCTCTCATCTGTCAGGCATGAGGTAGTCTATTGTGGGAAAAAAAAGAGGGACTAGGTTCACTCTTGGTATTACTTGTGAATACTGGCACATTTCTGAAGATTAATTCATATCCAAATATTATCTTTTCAAAATGAAAAAAGCATATAATACCTGGCTGACATTGTGATATTTGATTATTGGCTAAGTGGGCTAAAGGCAAAATATGTGAAATGCATTATTCTTTATTTTGTTACGAGGGTAAAAGGTGGTTCCTAAACAGTAGCCTACTGTGTTAAGCACCAAAAATGGTCTGTAGTGAAGACCAAGGCTGACACTTTCCCTGCTGATTGGACAGAGCAGATTTTCTTCACATTCAGGTTAGTAGCTCAGTATGTGGATTTTATAATAATCATGTGCTGTTGAACAGGACAAAGGAAGAGATGATGAAGCATTTTATATTTGTAGAAAATTTATGAAAAAGTTTTATTTCTGCATAAACTTTTGTGTCCCTGAGTTAGTGATTATTACATCTATTATATAATTCCTTATTCTTAAAGTTATTAAATATCTGAACTAATTAAGCCAGTTGAAGGGGAAATGGAAAGCACACATCACTACAATTTTCTACACTATCTTTTCTATATTACTAGGGATCAGTGCATTAATTAATAATTTAAATATTCTTGGCTATTTAGGTTCCTATTTCCTTCATTTTCTTTTTACTTCAGTTTATTATAATCTATATTCTAGTCACTGAATTCATGTTCTTTCTCTACAGCTTTATGTCTCCATTTGAGGTGAGATATTCCTGTTATACAGGCTTTTGTGCAATTCCTAAGTAACTAGTAGCTCTGTCAACATCTGTCTTTTGATATTCAGGTTCACTTTGGACAGCCTTTATCATGGATGTCTTAGTAACTGTACTGGAGCTGTGGGGAAGAGATATCTCTGGGGGTCTACTAGTATGAAATTTAGAAAGAACATTTTTCACTATACTTCTGCCAGGCCTTGTACCCATATGTAAATTTTAAAAAATCTGCTTTAAGTTTGTTTTTCTTTTTAGGAAGTAGTTGGATATGATTAATATCTTCAAGTAGATGAAAAGATTTTTTTAAGATTTCATTATAATTATTAGAATCACATTTTGAAAGGTAAAGCACTTTCAACGTCTGTTTCATTTGATCTTAGCAATGAGCCAGTGAAGCAGGTAACAGATCCAGTATCAGATCTCAGTTTTTCTAATTGCTAACCTAGTGTTTGTCACATAAAGTTAAAAAACAAAACAAAACAGAAAAACCCTCCCCATTTTATATTTTGTTCATATGTGAAGATAAGTCAATATATCTTTCTGTCCAGTAGGAATTCTGTAACTCTCCTTTGAATAGGGAATTAGGAAGTATTTTCTAACAAGAGGGGAGTGGTCTGTTAGCCTTTTTCTTAGGAAACTAGTGATTTAAAATTAAAATTACTTTCAACATTTTTCAAATCTGTAACTGGTAAAAAGTGGATCTTTAAAACTCAACTGGAGAAATACATTGCAAAGAATCAGTAGGAGTCAAGAGATTAGGTTCCTCAAGGCCTTAGCAAGATTCGCACGTGTGACAGAAACTTAACTAGAATCTTTAAATAACAGCTTCCTAAATCTCAGAGTATTCGATATAGAAAACCTGTTTTTAGTGCCCTATATTCTGGTTACTTCAACAGTATAAGCTATTTAAAAACGTAAAAAGATAGGGGGTGAACAATGTCACAAATTGGAGTGGGTGTGTGTTTGTTCTGGGGGGACCCTTCAGGATATTTTTAACTTACTCTCCAGTATTTGATGAAATAGCTGAAGACTGTTGTAGCAATGTACAGGCAGTAGAGAACAGAGTAAGCTAAGAATTGAAGGAAGAATTTGTAGTTGGAAAATCCAATGCAGTTATTAACCCTAAAAAAAAGAAAAACTAATTTGAAATCCACAACTCTTGATTGAGAGTATACTGATACATAAATGAACTAAGCAATTGAATCATGCTAGTTCTGCTGCTTCATTATGTGTCTTGTAAAAGCCCAATAGAGTTAGAAGTCCCTTAATAAGAACAGACTGGATAAAACAAGTTCATGTCTCACTTACTGCTTCTTTCATTTACAGACACGGTAACACCTGGCCTACCTAATAGCTCTGGACTCGTTCCTGACACATCCAAGCAAACCTGATCCTGGTTGCTAAAAATTTATTACAGTTTTAGCACCTACACTTGGTACAGTTGTGGCATGTTCTTTTTGTAGTTAGGTGATTTCAGACTGGCTCTCTGAGTCTGATACACAAAATTTGGAAAATTGCTGAATTTAACATTCTAGAATATTTCAAACATCAAGGCATCTAGAAACAGAACTGAATTGTGAAATGTCAAAAGGATAAATATTTGTGCTTTATTTAGTTACAGGCTCAATTGCTAAAGTTAGTGAATAGGAGACCATTAGCTTTGTAACTCCAGACATTCATTACTATGCCTTTGGTTTTATATTTATTCTTGCTTTAAAATGTTACCCCTTCCCTTTTCCCTACAGAAATATAAAACCCAGTGAATTATGGTGGTAGAAACAGGCATGTGGCAACTATGCTTAGAAAAGTGCATATAATTAAGCAACTTTGATCCTTTTATCAGAGAGAAATGAATCAAACAGACATACCAGGGGCAGTGATGATCCATTTTTAACACACACCTACAAAAAGGACAAAATACAATGTGATAAGTGAGGCTATGGAAATGAAGCAACACCTCATAATTAAACTCAAAGTTTCACCAGTATTTTTACATGGTTCCAGTACACCCATTCTCAGATTTCCACTACAGTAACTCCAAAACTATGGCCCTCAGTTGTCCCTAGGATGAGGCAATCACAACAACACTTTATGGGATCATGTCAGCAGCAAGTTACATGCCTATAAGTCCAACCTTTCAAAGGGATTGAGAACTTCAGATTACTAATACAGAGAAAAGGTCCAAGATGTCTCCTATCATTATGTTCAATACTTAGTTTAATAAAAATACAGAAGAAAACATAAGAAAAAACATAGCCTCTATCTGAATCAAAGGTAAGAGAACTATGAGTGGAATAAGCACTCAAGAGGAAAGGCATGAAGATTACATGTATCAACATAAAAATGGGGTTTACAAAGCTGGAACAATTTGGGCAACACAATAAATAAAGTGGTATTGAGTTATACCACAAAATATAAAATGAATATTCATGCTTTCATACTGATATAAAAATGATTGAATAAATAAATGAAGAGATGAAATAAATGTCCCAAGCAAAATAACTTGAAATAATTTGTGTAGCTACTCCACTTTCAAGGATGGAGGGAATAACTTCCCATTCCTTTAATGCTGGCTGTGCATAGTGGCTTCCTTTCGGAGTACAGTACAGAAAGAAAGAATAAGTTTACAGTGGTGAAACTTGACAAATGACCTCAGCCAGATGATCATAATTAACATTTCGGTGATAAGTCATGTTTATAGGTACCCTTAATATGATGTAATGAGAAGGACACCTTACTCTATGATCTTTCTCCCCAAATCATATTACCCCAGTCTAACAATGACGAGGAAAACATCCAACAAATCTCAATCAAGGGGCACTCTACAAACTACTTGACCATTAAACCTAAAAACTGTCAAGGTTATCAAAAACAAGTAAAGTCTGAGAAACCGCCACAGCTAAGAGAAGCTAAGGAGACAAGACATGACTATTAAATGCAATGTGATATCCTGGATGAGATACTGGAACACATAAAGGACATTATGGAAAAACTGAGGAAATTTAAATGTAGACTTCAATTAAAAATAATGTGTCAGCATTAGTTCATTAACCGCAACAAATGTACCATACAAATATAAGATGTTAACAATAAGGGAAACTGGGTATGAGACTTATAAGAACTATCTTTACAATAAACCTGTAAGTCTAAAACTGTTCTCAAATAAAATGTTTATATTAAAAATGTGGTCTTACTTCTTGTACTTATCTTTAGAGTAGCTTGAATCATCATCACCCGTGTGAGGGGTTTTGGCATATACTCATTATGATTAAAAGGAAATGCTCTTATCTAGGTATGGTTACATGCTAGGATCAGTTATTTTGTTGTCTAGGCAACCATCAGTAGCTAAGCTCAGCTCAGGGGAAATATGGCCATCACTTACATGGCACAGACAGAGCAATGGTGGCAGCGGTCTGGCTTGATCAGATGGCACCGGTCACAGAATCGTACAGCTATAAAAAAAAAATAAGGTGGTTAGCACTTGTTAGAACTCAATATAAGACCTTATATCTTATTAGCTTATCTGGATGACTTGTTATGCACTGATTTTAGATAGTCAAACTCATCTCAAGCTGCCAAGCAAAAGGCAGATTACATAAGAGAATTGGAGTATATATTTTTTCCTTGTTGGATCCAATTTTGAAAGCACTTTTGGGGGCTGAAAGGAATAGGGAAAGTTTCATATCTGGATATCTGAGATAAGATTTTTCATTATAAAACAAACTATACTATCAACTGCTTGTGGAATCTTGAAAAATCATTTTGCCTCTATTTACCCCCCCCATTTCTGATCTGAAAATAAGGTTTCATAATATATCTCCTGTCTCCAGAGATTGAATTTTATAAGGTGGATAACATTCCTAAAACATACAGTGGTTTCTAGAATAATAATTTGGAGAACAGAAGAGACATTCTAGAACAATTAGTTCAATTGACCTCTTTACTAAAGGAAGTAAAGATCTGGGTCTTATCAAGTGATTTACCCATGGTCACACAACAAGTTGCTGGCAGGGCTGTGATCTGTACAGTTTTTATGACTTCTTATTTTAGGATTCTTTTAACTCTAAGTCTGATATTAAAAAAAAAAAAATCATTCATCTTCCCTTCCTCCTTCTTTCCTTCCTTTCTCTTAGATGAAAAGTTTTTTTACTTTCCCCTCTAATTTTCTCCAGATTCATTGATAGAGTATGACTTGTTTAATGTGATTATTTATTTTTTCTTTTTCTTAAGATGGGGTTTCACCATGATGGCCAGGCTGGTCTTGAACTCCTGACCTCAGGTGATCCACCCATCTCAGCCTCCCAAAGTGTTAGGATTATAGGCGTGAGCCACAGCATCCAGCCCTTAATGTGATTATTAAGTATAAAAACTAAACTGATGAATAATTTGAACTAGTATAATAATTTCATCTAAAGTATACATTAAGCCCATATAACTGATTTAACACAGTAGACAGTTAATTCAGCAGAGATTTGTGTTCACTTCTACCAATGGAAGTATGTAAGTGACTAAAGTTGTGGGAATAATTGAGTCAAAGGGGAAGGGAGAAGAACATGCATATCTGGGTCCTTTTACATATTTTAAAATATATTGTCAATGCCCCTATCCTAGTTTAAGCCACATTGTCTCTTAGGTAGTTGAGTGCGATAGCTGTGTAATTTATCACTCTGCTTTCACATTTGCCCCTCACGAGACCTACTACACAGAGTAGCTGGGTGATCTCTCAAAATCTACATGAGGTCTGGTGTAGTGACTAACGTCTACAATCACAGCACTTTGAGAGACTGAGGTGTGAGGATAGCTTGAGACTGGGAGTTTGAAACCAGCCTGGGCAACATAGTGAGACCCTGTCTCTACAAAAAGTAAAAATAAATTAGCCAGGCATGGTGGTGTGCACCTGTGGCCTCAGCTACTTGAGAGTCCGAGTGGAAGGACTGCTAGAGCCCAGGAGTTCGAGGCTGCAGTGGGCCATCAATGAACCACTGTATTCCAGTCTGGGCGATAGAGCAAGATCCTGTTTTAAAAATACAAAATAAAAACAAAATGTAAATCAGATCATATCACTCTCCACTTGAAACTCTCAATGGATTTCCAGCACCCACAGAATAAAATCCAAGCTCCTTACCATGGCCTGTATGATCTAGTCTCTGCCTGACTCTTCAAATGTATCTTGCAAAACTCTCCTCATACTATGTTCCAGTGAAACTGGCTGCCTATCTGCTCTTGTAATCAAGATTGCTCCTGTTTCAGGGCTTTATGTGCTTGCAGTTCCTTTTGCCTGGGATAATCATCCCTCTGTTCATTTTGGTGTGATGGTTAATTTTGTTTTTTTGTTTTTTTTTGTTTTTTTAATTTCAATAGGTTTTTGGGGAACAGGTGGTATTTGGTTACATGGATAAGTTGTTTCGTGGTGATTTCTGAGATTTTGGTGCACTCACCACCTGAGCAGTGTACACTGTACCCAATGTGTAGTCTGTTATCCTTTGTGACACCCTACCTTTCCCCTGAGTCTCCAGAGTCCATTATATCATTCTTAGGCTTTTGCATCTTCATAGCTTAGCTCTCACTCATAAGTGAAAACATATGATGTTAGCTTTTCCACTCCTGAGTTACTTTACATAGAATAATGGTCTCCAACTCCATCTGGGTTACTGAGAATGTCATTATTTTGTTACCTTTTTATGGCCAAGTAGTATTCCATGGTATATGTATATATGTGTGTGTGTGTGTGTGTGTGTGTGTGTGTGTGTGTGTGTGTGTGTGTCTGTGTGTATTTTACATTTTTTTATCCATTAAATTGATGGACATTTGTTCTGGTTCCATATTTTTGTAATTGCAAACTGTGTTGTGATGAACATGCCTGTGCAAGTGTCTTTTTCATATAGTGACTTCTTTTCCTCTTGGTAAGTACCCAGGAGTGTGATTGATGGATCAAATGGTAGATCTACTTTTAGTTCTTTAAGGAATCTTTATACTGTTTTCCATAGTGGTTGTACTAGTTTATATTCCCACCAGGGGTGTAAAAGTGTTCCCTTTTCGTCACATCCGAACCAACGTTTATTATGCTTTGATTTTTAAATTATGGCCATTCTTGCAGGAATAAAGTGGTATTGCATTGTCGTTTTGACTTGCATTTCCCTGAAAATTAGTGATGTTGAGCATTTTTTCACATTTGTTGGCCATTTATATATCTTCTTTTGATAACTGTTTATTGAGGTCCTTAACCCACTTTTTGATGGGATTGTTTGCTTTTTTTTTCTTGCTGATTTGTTTGGGTTCCTTGTAGATTCTGGATATTAGTCCTTTGTCACATACATAGTTTGTGAATATTTTTTCTCAGTCTTTGGGTTGTTTACTCTGCTGATTATTTTTTTTTCATATGCAGAAGCTTTTTAGTTTAATTAAGTCTCATCTATTTATTTTTGTTTGTGTTGCATTTGCCTTTAGGTTCTGGGTCATGAACTCTTTGCATAAGTCAATATCTAGCAAAATGTTTCCAATGTTATCTTCTAAAATGTGTATGATTTCAGGTCGTCTTTGATCCAACTTGAGTTCAGTTGATTTTTGTATACAGTGAGAAATGAGGATATAGTTTCATTCTTCTACCTGTGGCTTGCCAATTATCCCAGCACCATTTGTTGAATAGGGTGCCCTTTCCTCACTTTATGTTCTTGTTTGCTTTGTCAAAAATCAGTTAGCTGTAAGTATTTGGGCTTATTTCTGGATTTGCTATTCTGTCCCATTGGTCTATGTGCCTATTTTTATACCTGTACCATGCTGCTTTGGTGACAATAGCCTTGTAGTATAATTTGAAGTCAGATAATGTAATGCTTCCAGATTTGTTCTTTTTGCTTACTCTTGCTTTGGGTAATGTGGGCTCTTTTTTGGTTTCAAATGAATTTCTGAATTGGTTTTTCAAGTTCTGTCAAAATGATGATGGTATTTTGATGGGAATTGCATTGAAATTGTAGACTGCTTTCAACAGGATGGCCATTTTCACAATATTGATTCTGCCCATTCATGGGCATGGGATGTGTTTCCATTAGTTTGTCATCTATGATTTCTTTCAGCAGTGTTTTGTAGTTTTCCTTGTAGAGTTCTTTCACGTTCTTGGTTAGGTATATTTCTAAGTGTTTTTTTTTTTATTTTTATTTTTTATTTTTCCACTATAGTAAAAGTGGTGGAGTTCTTGATTTGATTCTCAGCTTGGTTGTTGTTGGTGTATAGCAGTGCTACTCATTTGTATACATTAATTTTGTAACCTGTAACATGACTCAATTCATTGATAAAATCTAGGAGATTTTTGGAAGAGTTTTTAGGGTTTTCTAGGCATACTATCACATTATCAGCAAACAGCAACAGTTTGAGTTCCTCTTTACTCATTTGGATGCCCTTTATTTCTTTCTCTTTTCTGATCACTCTGGCTAGGACTTCGAGTACTGTGTTCAATAGAATTGGTGAAAGTGGGCATCTTTGATTTGTTCTCAGGAGCAATGCTTTCAACTTTTCCCTATTTGGTACAATTTTGCTGTGGGTTTGTCAATGATAACTTTTATTACCTTAGCATATGTCCCTTCTATGCTGATTTTGCTGAGGATTTTAATCATAAGGGGACACTGGATTTTCTCAAATGCTTTTTCTGCATCTATTGAGGTGATCAGGTGATTTTTGTTATTACTTGTATTTATGCGGTGTGTCACATTTATTGACTTGCCTATATTAAGTGAACCCTAAATCCATGGTATGAAATACACTTGCTGATGATGGATTATCTTTTTGATATGCTGTTGAATTTGGTTAGCTAGTATTTTGTTGAGGATTTTTTGCATCTATATTCATCAGGGATATTGGTCTGTGGTTTTCTTTTTTAGCAATGTTATTATTATTATTTTTTGGTATTAGGGTAATATTGGCTTCATAGGATAATATAGAAAGGATTCCCTCTTTCTCTATCTTTTGGAATAGTTTCAGTAGGAGTGGTACCAATTCTTCTTTGAATGTTTGATAGAATTCAGCTGTGAATCTGTCTGGTCCTGGACTTTTATTGTTGGCAATTTTGTATTACCATTTTAATCTTGCTTCTGGTTATTGGTCTGTTCAGAGTTCCCATTTCTTCCTGGTTTAATCTAGGAAGTTTGTATATTTCCAGGAATTTATCCATCTCCTCTAAGTTTTCTAGTTTGTGCCCATGAAGGTGTCCTTAGTAGCCTTAAATAATCTTTTGTATTTCTGTGTTATCAGTTGTAATATCCCCCTTTTTGTTTCAAATTGAGCTTATTTGGCTCTTCTCTCTTCTTCTTGTAGTTTATCTCACTAACTGACTATCAATTTTATCTTTTCAAAGAACAAGCTTTATGTTTCATTTATCTTGTATATTGCTTTTTTTTGTTTGTTTGTTCCAATTTCATTTAGTTCTTCTCTGATCTTTGTTATTTCTTTTCTTCTGTTGGGT